AATAAGCTGTTAGTACTTCGACTAAGTGTCTGTGCAGCCCTTACCAGTGGTGCACTCGCTGATATGGTGCACTCGCTGATAAAACACGTTAGTTATAGTATAATGCTAATTCAGTTAACGTGTTTTATCCGCGAATGCACCATATCAGCGAGTGCACCACTGGTAAAGGCTGCATATATATTTGGGTGCAGCACTAACAACGGGAATAAGCGGGGAATAAGCTGTTAGTACTTCGACTAAGTGTCTGTGCAGCCCTTACCAGTGGTGCGCTCGCTGATATGGTGCATTCGCTGATAAAACACGTTATACTATAGTGAATGTGCTGCGAGCAAGATGCCAGGAGGATTTACTTAGGATTAGGGCTGTAAGTGAGATTAGGGTGAGACAGTTTACCGAAATTGTGACGAGTCGATTTACTAAGCTCGCTAGTCCGAGACCGATCCCCACTTCTATAGGCCAGAACCCTGTAACCTGAGGAGGGTTAATGCGCGCGCATGTGACAATCGAACAACAGGATGTGACTGTTCGCATTTGACAAACGAAATCAAGCCCCAGCAATTGTTGCTATCCATGATGAGGGAGTAATGAGAGGGAGCTAGCATAACCAAAAGGAAGCGAAGCTGGAAGTACAACAGCGCCAGGTGGACTGAAGTGATAGGAACTACCCAACTAACACTGACTCGAGGAGATCACACAGGAGGAAAATGTTTTCGGACAGACTCCAACTCTAGGTGATAAACAGTGAGAGCAGTCAGATCTCGTCCAAATTCCGCCAGACGCCAACAGCTTTCGAGTGACCTGAAGGAAGCCGTTAGACAGGATGGATGCGCCTGGTACGGAGGTACCGTCCGTTAGTGTGTCCTGCGGGGTGGTGGGGCCACGAACACCCGACCCATGCAATTCGTCACCCCTGCCTGGGTCAGCTGCTTCCCCGCCATCCCCCGCGCTGCTAGACGAGTGTCAACCAACGATGAAAGCCAATACCAGCGGCTTGTGCGAGTGGGTGACGAGACTGTACGACCAAGTCACCTCTTTGCGCAAGTTTCGCACGGTTACAGAGGATTCTTATTACCCACACACTACAAAGCGGTCTTTGCACGACAACCGCTCTCCGTCTTCCCATTTCTGACGTAGCATATTGTCCGAGTTCCCCAACGACTCCGTGCGTTTTCCTGGAAGCGAAGACAAGCGAAGCGTGTTGTTTTCCCTGCTGTCCCTGCTGTCCCTGCAAGTCGAGCACGCACGCAGGGTTGGAGACCAACGGCAATGGGGCGCCCTCCGGCGTACCTGTTCGTGGTGAGGTAGGGCGGATTTCGGCTTCTCATCCCATCATCTTATGGGCACGTTTTTAACATTTCCATAGACACGGATATCGTCTTGACGCAGCTGACAAGCAATGGCATCTCTCATCCCCGACCCCTTACGACCCCCCCCTTACCTACAGCGGCTGGCAACAAGCAAAGAGCCTGGGTGCTAGAATAGCGTCCATCATACGGGAAAGGGTGCAAGAAGAGGAGCTTGGTGCGGACCTAGGTGCTGATGACGTCCCGAAGCGGAAGCGGTACGAGGTCGTTCTACACAGCTCGCCGTTTCTGCGATGCATTCAAACGTCGATTGCCATCAGCGCCGGCCTTGCTCAGGACTCGACCCCGTTTGAGCCCTCTCGTTCCCGAGCCACAGCGACGACACCGGCAGCTCTCTCGGACGGCCGACCAAAGCCGACTGTTGTCACGGACATGCCGAACACGAAACCTGCTGACCCAGTCAATATCCGACGGTCCGTCTTGCGGTTGGACGCATTTCTTGGGGAATGGCTTTCTCCCGACTACTTCGAATACATCACCCCGCCTCCCAAGTCGGTCATGATGCTGGCCAGCGCCAAAGCCGACTTGCTCCGCCGTGAGGACTACGCTCAATACCCACATTTCACCTCGCACCAACATTCCAACTCCCAAGGCCAGCTCTGGAGCCCTACGGTTCGGGAAAGTTCCGCTTCGCCGTCCAACGGCGGCCAAACAAGTCCGCTGGGACCCATGGCAAACTTCACCTCTTCACCCACCCACCCGGGCATCAGCAGCCGGAGCGATCAGTTGGCCCACCAACGACCGGCGGGGTACGTTTCGCCCGTTCCCCACTACGCCGTGAGCAGCAACAATACCATTCCCCCGGGATACGTCTCGCATGCTCGAGACGCCTGTGTGGCGATTGACTACCAATGGGACTCTACGCGGAGCGCCATGGATTGGGGAGATGGCGGCACCTTTCCAGAAGAGTGGCCGTCCATGCATAAGCGGTTTCGCTTCGGTGTGCAGAGCCTGGTTGACTGGTATTCGACCGCGGACAAGCCAACTCAACCAGTCACCAAAACTGTCCGGACCGAACCATCAGATGATTCAGCAGGTGGTGAGGACGATGTTGAGACCGAGGCTGTCGTCATCCTCGTCTCCCATGGGGCCGGATGCAACGCCCTGATTGGAGCTATTACCCACCAGCCCGTCTTGATGGACGTTGCCATGGCTTCCCTGACAATGGCTGTCCGCAAGCCGAATGTTGGACAGTTCGACTCTATTGAAATCTCCAAGAACATTCCGCCGATTCACGAACTCTACGACTTAAAGCTTTTCGCCAACACGGACCATCTACGGTCCCCCGTAGCGACCCCGACAGGGTCAAAATCCTCCTCGATGCTGGAAGCAATGAACACTATCCGCGGGCGCCACTCGTCTTTCTCATCTACCATGAACGGCTTCTCGTGGAAAGATAGCGCTGGGAGCAGAAACTCGTCGGCAAACGCCGCACTGAACGGCCTTCGAAGTGGCCCGAATAAAGACACAACAGTGCCAAGGCTGTCCTTTGGAGCCAGCACAACAGTGCCCAGACTGTCCTTCGGAGCCAGCACCGGCGGCATCACAGTTGGGAGCGGCGTCACGTCTTTTGCCTCGGCCCGCCCCTCCGGCCTAGGACGAACTGGGAGTGCCGGGCTCTGGTCGCCCATTGGAACAAATCTGGAGGATGAGGAGGAGGACAACAGTGTCCAAGTACTGAATTTTGGGCTAGACAGGCTGTCTGCTACCGAGCAGAATTCACTAGCTCCACCCACGTCGCAACTCAGCCGTGAAGCGGGTCCCAAGATGAGCGACAGGAATGGCACCTCTGACGAATCGGCCAGCGGAGCCACTGCCGTGTCCTCCGAGCGGTCACCGAAACCTGAGCCGGACCAGCTTGGTGCCGGCACAGGCGGGCTCTGGGGTGCGCCCCGACCTCCGGACGACGCGGACCGTCTGCGTGATCTCAGCAGCTCCAAGCGTCGATGGACCGTTACTGAGCGGAGTTAGGGCACTGCTACTGTGGTCGCCTAGGCTGCCACCGCTGGGTTGGCCAGTCTAGGGATGGTTGCTTGTTGGCTTGGATGGGCAATAGTCTGGATGATTTGAGTTTGTCGACGGCTTTCTCTAAGCTGTTGTGATATTTAAGGATACCACGTGGAAGGCGAACGGACTCTAGCAGATGAGAAATTTACCTCGGTCCCATCGCGCTGTGGGATAGGCGTACACTGGGATGATACAGGAATGACGGTCAGGGGCTCAGTACAGCCCGGCTGTAGTCTCCGTTTGTACCAAGTTGTCAGTTCAGATGCGCTTCTTGGAGTCATGCCTGCGTGGCAATAACAACGAGAGACGCCCTGTTATGTACGTCAAGCACAAGTTGCAATGTCACATTACTTCACGAAGTAAAGGAGACAGCGTGTATCGCATATGGAGAGCAAGCGATACAAACCCACCTCACCATCAGACGGCTCCTTTCAGTGGGTCTCTGGCCGTTCATTTCATGTTTGATCTCCACGGCCCAAGGCCGGGTCAAGTTCGTCTTCCTACTGAAACATAAGCCCTCAGAAACCTGATATTATTCCGGTTATCCGCAGAAATTTTCGCAACGATGTTAACCACAGGCTGAACGGGAGAGGCAATGGCTGATTCAATTCAATGGGACTTGATCAGACTAGAGGGCTGCGGAGGCCATTCTCGGCACATGGAACGAGATATTCACGGCTACGTCTGGCTGCGAACGTGCAAAAAGATCGTTCCCTGGTTTCATGTCACAGTCCAGAGACCTCTCCATGGCGGTCTGTCAACATCATCATCTCAAGCCCACTATCCATTCGCACACCTCCTCCTCCCCATGGCGACACCGTACATGACACGATGATGTCTCAATCCAAATCAAAGAAACTCCCCTCCGTCCTCTTCAACTCCCTCAAATTCACCAACCCCAGAACCCTCCCATCCCACCTCCAAACCGCCTCCCCCCAAACCCACCACACCACCCCCGCCGCCGCTGCAACAACCATCTGCGCCACGGTAATCCCAATACAAAACTTCCTCAGCCCATCCCAGCACCAAACCACCCCCGGCACGGCGACGACAAACACGCCCGCGGCCAGGGACCGCCAACAGGCGCCGCCGGCCAGCATGTCGGCCGTGTTGCGCGTGGCGACGGCGTGGCTCGATCCCGTGAAGGCTGTGCTGGCGCGCACGACGGGCAGTGCCAGGGCGGCGTCGAGGAGGGAGACGCCGGCGGCGAGGAGGCCTAGAACGAAGCTTGCTGCGGGGAGGTTCACGCGCCGGGAGAGGTAGTCTAGCGCGTAGATTGAGACGGGTTGGTCTGGGGAGGAGGAAGAGAAGGGGGGTGGGGTCATGGCGCTTTCGAGGTGCAGGCCGAATGTTAGGATACCGATGAAGGTTAGGGCGGAGCCAGTTGCGAGGGCGGCCATATGGATTTTGACGGTGAACCGGGCTTGCCAGTAAGATATGAGGACTGGGGCTGCGACGGCGGCGGTGGAGAGGAGGAAGGGGGCGAGGAATAACGCGCCGATGGTGCCTGGGGAGAGGACAAATGGTAGAGGGGAGAAGAGGAGGGAGAGGGAAGTGGCGAGGCCCCAGAGAGAGGCGTGAGGGAGGAGGGAGACAAGGGTGAGGATGGCTGTGGTGGGCGTGATGAAGGCCCGCGGCGCCTGGAGAAGCATAGTAAGGTCCGCGGTGCTGCTGTAAGCGTAAGGCTTCAGCTTGACGATGTAGTTGGTGAAGGTTTCTAAGGAGAAAAGGCGCCGCGGCGTGAGCGGGACGGAGAGCTTGTAGTGGCTCGTGGCTGTGGAGGGGGTCTCGGCGACGGTGAAGGTTCGGTCGAACGCGGTCTCTGGCGCGCCCAGGGCGATAGCAGGGACGGCCACGACGAAGAAGGCGCTGAGGATGGTAAACTGTAGGCTGAAACCAGCGGGGCCTTCGGAGGTAACTCCGCTGATCAATGGGGTCCCCCAAGTTGTCGCCACAGCGACAATCGAGTAGATAGCGATGCGGAGACCGCGTTCGTGTTCCTGTGCGGTTAGCGGCGGAATCCAGCCAGGTGTGGTCCTGACGTACAAAGTAGGTGTCTTGGATAGACCCCAGAACGAGCGTGTCGAACGCTCCCCAGCCCAGCCCCTGGAAACTCCTTGCAGCCATGCACTGGGCGTAACTGCTCGCAGCATTGGTATTCCAGACCGTTCCAATGAACACGAATAGCAGCGAGGCCAAGTACAGTGGTCGTTTGCCCCATATCCTCGAGGCGACGAGACAAGAGACGCCACTTAGGGCGGAAAGAATAAGGGGCACGCCGGTTAGGGCGGCAACAGCAGTGTAAGAAACCAGATAGCTTTCGGTGAGCTGGGCATTAACAGTCATAAATATCGTCTTTGTCACACCAGTGATGGCTACCGTGATTAGAAGCGACCAAAAGTTGAGCTCCTTCCTCCACATCGGCCAGTTCTGGATTCTTGTGAGCTAGAGTGTCAAAGTAGGCACTGGGTCTGGGCATGCGTACCAGAGGGTCATCGGGATTATCGCTAGGCTGTGGCACCAGTTCGACACGGCCGTATCTCCCCTGCCCGTACTTGATGGGTCTCCTTGTGATCGATGTCCAAGAGAGCCTCTTTGACGAACCGGGGAACCTTAGAGCTGTTGACCCTGATACCTGGCTGCTTGTCGCCGTACCAGGTCTCGTTGGAGGATTCATGCCCAAGGGCGCTTGCGGCTTGAGTGGTGGTGGACGGGCTGGTTGAGAAAGCTTGGGGCTGTCTGCTGGCTTCATCGCTGGTCTGGGTGGCAGCGGTCTGTTCGGTGGTAGTGTTGGGTAGTCGATGGGACTCCATGAGTCAAATTTCAGCGGCGCCGGCGGCTCAGGCAGGTCCTTGGCCGGAAGCCTTGGCTGAATAGACATTGCTGGACCTCTCCCCACACTCCTCGTCGCCCACTTTGCAACTCTAGGTAGGGAGGGCTCAACTCTCGTCTCCTTTCCTAACTCCATGTCCGTACCTGCGGTGTCCAAATAACGAGCGGGACACCTCGACTCACGGAGATGCGGTGTGGTAAGCGATGGCATCTGTTGTCGCTGTCCAGCAGACGAACCGAGATTCGGAGAAAGCCGCAAGGGAAGATGTATTCAAGGACAGGGACGAGGTGGGGAATTAGCCATTAAAAGAAGGGTGGTTCAACAGGGTGGGGGGATTGAAGGGCAAGAGCAAAGCACTGGCCTTTCGCTGAAGGAAATGTGATGGTGGGATGCTTCGAGGACGACCGCAGCGGAAACATGCTTGCATGGCGGTGGATGGCCAGCCCTAAGAGCAAACCAGAATTGTTGTCAAGGAGGGGCAATGGACGATCAGATGCACAATGGGGTTGTCCTTGGCGGTGACGACCATGCCGTCGATGCTCAATGCTGACAGTATCATTCCCGTGACTGGTGGTGGCGTGCTGACCGGGCTAGACACTCAAGCATGAAGCAGGGGCAACAAGATCTGTATGCACCCGGGAGGCATCACAGCCCCGTCCTTCATGCGCCGGGTTGGATCGGAGGCCATCGTGCGCTGCACTGGGAGCCAGGTCGTCAGGGTCGCGATCGACGCTGAAGGGTCGGCGTCGGCCCATGTCCCGGCTGTATGGCACGGTGATCATGCTCGCTCAGACCCGGTACGGATACCCAGCTTCGCCAACCCACGGGTTGCCGAAGTGAGTGCAGGGGCCAGCAAGAGTCTGAAACCACAAGTGACGCAGGGGCAGGGATTGACATGCGGCGTATGTGAGATAGATAGGGTCGGGCTGGCAAAAATGACCTACCTGCCTTCCAAGAATGACCTCTACTAATCCCTTTCCGTTGAAAGCCCACACCACCAGCCACACCCGACTTTTGCAGCCAACAATTCAATTCTTAGGTACCCCACTTGCATCTAGAGACTCAAACGATGCGAGTCACAGAATTGAGCAAGCTGCTTACAAACGTACTTAGCTAAGTCGCTCAAAAGGCATTGATAGATCGAGACATGGTCGGATTGCTGGCCTTGTTGATCAAAGTGACGGTAATGATGTTGGCTGCGGGGTCCGGCTGGATTGGTATAAGCTCTCAACCGAAAGGGGTTAGTATAGGTCATCTCGAAGGGCAGGTAGGTCATTTCTGCCAGGTCGGATAAGGTAGATGAGTCGTATAAAATGTCTATTTGTGTGGACGAAAGGTAAGCACCCACACCCACGAGAGAATTCGCGAACTGAATCTGCAAGTGACGGACGTCAATGAAGTTGAAGGTTTAGGGCTGAGGGAAGTGGGGACCGGGAAGTGTGGAAGTGTTCCGGTTCAGCCGCGGCACCTTCCGCGCACTGTCGTCGCTGCTGACTGCCGACTTGGCGAGTCGAATGCATGCTTGATTGGATTTTCTCCTCTTTCTGCATCCCACTGCTTTGCCCATAGTCAACTCCCGAGGTTGACTGCGGCGGCAGAGCAAACATTGAAACGCGTCTTGACCGCCAGAGATTGCGTGGCGGGCAGCCATTCGTCATTACTCTCGAGCATATCTTGTCGCGTTCCAGGCAGGCCACACAGGTTGAACAGACAAGCAAGTCCTGTGCAAGCATAAGGCCCGTCGAGGTATTGTGTTATCGAGGTTGATAAACCCGTGGTGGTAATTGTTTCAACTCGTCAACATTTCTCCGCTCTCAAGGAGACATCAACCGGCAATTCCCGGATCTCTCAACCGGGTTTTTGGACTCTTGGAGCAAACTGCCAGAAACGCATAAACGTGTGAACCCTGGGTTGGACCGGACACAGGGACGATCATGCAGTCCTGCAGCCGGCAACTTCTCTCGCCGCATTAACCCGAACTCAAAGGCGACGATCGCCATTTCGATTCAAGTTCTTACCAGGTCTGCGTCTCTGTGCCATCGCGGTGTCGGAAGACATACTTGCAGCAAAGCAAGACCCAAAACAGAAGGTTTCGATGCCCTGTAAGCTACCGCGTTTCCGCAGCCGTGATTATCGACAGTGAATCATGAGTTGTTTTATTCCGTCGATGACGCCTCGAACTAGGTCCAGTGCTTTGGAGCCTCACGTTTGCAATTCAAAAAGCCGCTAGCACAATCGCTTTCGCCTCGGCGGCGACTTCAAGTTGCTGTGCCTCCGACCTCTCCACCACGGTCAGCAGCGTGGTGCTCCGCACCAACAGCTCCTCAAACTCCAACCTGTACGCCACGGGCAGCTCCTCCTCCATCGCGACAAGTACAGGGTGCTCCGCGTGGATGTCCTTCTCACTGACACGGAAGCGCAACCCAACATCGCCGGTGACGTCGACCCATAGCACACCGTCATCACCCTCCATGACCTCCTCCTCCGCCTGCGCCTTCACGCCTCCAGCTGCCCGCCGCTGCTGCCTCTGCCTCAGCCAACCCATCGTCGCCTGCGCCGCCAGCCAGTCCCTCGACACGCACACCACCCTGTCACTCACGTTGACGTGGCTGCGGAACAGGCCTGGCCGGGGCCCCAGATGGACCAGGTTCGTAACGGTACAGAGCTGCGTGAATGTCTCGCAGTCGTCGAGGTGGACATCGATCGACGGCCGCTCGTACAGTCCGCCGCCGTCGTCATCACCACCACCACCGGCACCGGCATCGACGGCGCTGCTGCAGCTCTGCGCCCGCCCCTGGGAATACCGCCCGCGTCGCGGCCGGTTCTTGTCATTGTGGTCCTCATCGTGCTCCACAGGCCGAAAGTGCGAGTAGATTCCCCGCAGGCCGCTGCGCCAGTCAGCTATTCTGTCAGACGCGGCGTGAGACTGTGAGGCGGTGGCGCCGGCCTCGAGGTCGGCGAAGCTATCGGTGTATAGGTAGTTGCAGTAGAGGTAGGGCGTGTAGAGCTTCTCAGCCGGGTGGTAGCACTCGAGCATCAGGCGGCGGTCTGGCGTCGACAGGACATGGCCCAGGCGCTGCTTGAGGATGAGCAGCGTTACCGAGTAGAACCGGTGGCTGACTGCCCCCAGGGGCAAAAGGTTGGTGGTAGGCAGATGGGAGAAGATGAAGATGAGGAGCTGTAGTGGGTTGTCAGTCACGCTGGGATGTCGTGGAGGGAAGAGAGGTGAACGGAACCTCGTTGGGCAGACAGCCCAGTGATGGGTTGGGCTTCATTGTGTGTAAGTCGAGGGCGCGGCAGATCAAGCGCGTAATGGGCGATACTGCCGCAGCAGTTGCAATCTGGCGATTAACTGTTGTTGACGTCCAGACGAGGCGTTGCTTTTTCTTGAGCTCGGCCTAGATATCGTGCCCCGTGTTGCAGGGGTACCGTCTGAGGCCGAGAAACGCTAGGTCTCATGACCCAGGAGTGTGTGGTTGATGGCGCGCCCTGAAGTTGATGGCTTTGCTCGTTAGTTGATTCCACCAGTTTCTCAGCGGCTTTCAAGTGGGCCCTGGGCATAATGGATCTATGAGGTAAGTCGGAGTTGCCGCGTCGGAGGCTCGATGATGCAATGTGGGCGAAGCGGGGCTTCCGGCTCGGTCGGCATGCCGTAAATGCCGGAAGCCAAGCCCTAACCGAGATTTGAAATCCCGAAGACTTCACCCGGCTCGGTCTCCGTGTTCAGGCCTGGAATTATACGGAACTGTTTTCTACTGAAGACTGGAGCTTCAGCCCGTACACTACAAAATGAAGACCGGTGCCGCTGCCATGCTTTGCCCGTGTGACCTGCTTCATTGGACCATCCTCTATGACAGTCATATTTCGGGGATGGGAGCGCGGTTGGCGGCTTGACATTCCTAGCTAAGGTGGCTATACCTCCATAAGTCAACGCAGGCTGCGTCCCTGTGTTGGATCTGCTCTAGTCTGATGCCACCATCGTCCCGGCGCCAGACACGCCAGAAATGATCGAGTTTGTATTGAGAGGCGAGCCCGATATATCGGAGACAGGAGCCCGCAAGGGCAAGTCTCTCAGCGGTAGCTTCGTCACACGGGACACTCCGCACGCTGAGCTGTGTGAGGTTAGGCAGCCTGCGGAGCACAGGCTCGAGAAGCCGGACGCTGGGCTCCATGTCGGCTTCCGGGCGGTTAGGGTCATAAAACCCGTCGGGGTCAAAAATGCTTCGGTAGGGCATGCTGACATCGAGGCCCTCGAGAGAGTCAGGGTTGGTGGACACCAGGTCCTCGAGCGCCTGTTCGGCTTCTAGCGAGCATTGGAGCTCGTCTTTTCTTCCCGTGCCATCGTTCTGACTGAGTTCAAGGTTGAGCATCTTTAGCTGTAGTGGGAGAGACGGGTGATCGGGACTCGGTTGTAGCAAGCTTGTCGTGTACAATGGCGGCTCCTCTATGTACATTCTTTGGGCGAAAATTCCGAGGTTGCGTACAAACGATGGGTCCGACTCCGAGGTAGTGCACAAGTGTTGATGGACGGCCTCGATATACAGGTCCACGGCAAAAAAGCGGAGGTTGGGCGCATGGGGAGGCGCAAATGCGATCAGCGCCACGGTATCAGGAGACTCAATGGCGCCAAGAATCGAAATGTAGACGTCGTGTAGGTGGGTGAGGTCGGCGAGTTTCTTGAGTGAGTTGACTGAGAAGGGATACGTCCCTCCCAGCAAGTGCAAAGATGACAGACGTAGTGGCGAGGCGCCCGTCCTTCCGTAGAGGTCGCACAGACGGTCCAGCGCATAGTAATGCGCATGCATTGCCGCGTCGTCCTCTTCATCGCCAGGACGCACCGGGTAGAAACCCAGAGCCAGTTTCGTAAGACGCGGCGAGTTCTTGAGCAGCTGAACAAGCTGCGGAAGCCACCAGTCATAGTCGTCAATGGGAATGCAGGCGAGTGTCAGCTCTCGAAGACCGCTCAGGCAGCCGAGCTCCAGTTTAGGGTGCATGATCCGAGTCCACGGGGCCAATGGACGCCGGCGAATGTACAGGTTATAGAAATTCCGCCCATCGGCGCCCATGCTCAGGGCTAGCGACGTGAGCCTTGGGCAAGAACGGCCAAGCGTTCGGAAAAGGTCGGGGGTCAACAATCTGCCGATGTGTTCGAAGTGTTCCAAACGAGGCATCTGGGAGAGCAACTGGTGAAGGAGCTCGTGCTGTTCCTCGCCAGACAGACCTGGCAAACCCAGGTTATGGTAGAGGACAACTTCCTTAACGTGATTGATATTCGCATTGAGCCCGCGCTTCATCCTCAGGATTTTCCGGTTCTTCATGAGTGGCCAAAATACGAGCATCGTTTCAGGTTGCCCAATGCGAACCTCCCTGTAGACGTACGGCGTGGCGGCAGCGTAGAATGTCTTGCTCACCAGGCTCATGGCCTCCAGGGTGGGCACATCGCCTGAGAAAAAGGCATGGTGTGCGACAAATGAGACGAGCTCCAGCAGCCCAGCGAATCGCGCAACTGCTGTGGTCATGGTGTGTCGCTGCTGTCAGGACCTATTTTATACTGAGATCATAGAATGCCGCTGTAAGTTGCGAGTTTTGGGTGTTGATGTCAGACTACCAATTCAAAATCTGAGAATTGCCTTTGGTGTTTTTTTTTCGTTTTTGCGCTGAGCTTGTGGAGCCAGGTTGGGATTCCGCAGGTAAATCAGTTCAAAAGTGACAGGTAACAAGCTACATACCATCAATCAAACAGAGTAGTATCACATGAATCACATCCGCATCCTACAAGTCATGGTCAAGCCGAAGCGATCGACTACCTGCCGTCGCAGCTTCCAGCAATTCCAGGCCGCCGGCGGCTTTTTTGGCTACGACTTTATCCTTCCATCTTTGCAGTTTTCCTCCGGGAATCCTGGATTCCAAACCTGAAAACTGTCGCAAACATCCGCTCTACAAGAAGAAGGTACAGTACTTTATCTTACATGAGTCAGAGCTAGTTAGGGCAATGAGGTATAGACGCTGCTCCTCTATGCTATATATACGGTGCCGGCCACTACTCTAACCGCTACTTCTATTGACTGTCCTTAGCGAAAGCCCATCTGCATATTAGAAAGGATATAATAGGGAATGCCTAGATCGCACGGCCACGGCTATATAGCACGGCGCTATCCCTGATTCGGCAGGGCTCCCGTGGTGCCCGTGCAGCAGTACATCCGTACAATCGTGAATTTCCTGACAGCTGCCAAGCGAGTTACAGGCCGGCGTCTGCCCAAAGCACACTACAGCAGCCGGCTGCTGCCCCAACTTCCCGCTTCAACTTCCATCCACAACCTGTTACCGCCAGGATGCTACTAACCCGCAGTAGCTGACAATCGCAAGTAGCTGCATGGAGCACACTGCTAAGCCGTAAATGTGTAGTTCATAGTCAGTACCTTCAAGAATATCACAAAAGCAATGGGAACGAGCTCATGTTATTTGCGTTGACTTCAATTGAACGGATTGATCAAGCCGACGCAGCTTCTGTGCCTCCACTTGGCAGCTGTCAGGAAGTTCACGATTGTACTACTGCACGGGCACCGCGGGAGCCCTGCCGAATCAGGGATAGCGCCGTGCTATATAGCCGTGGCCGTGTGCGATTCTAGCCGTTCCCTTTTTCGATTTCAAACAGTCCGCACTGCGTGCCCACGTCCGACTCCTGCAGGTCCTCTACCCGGTTGACAATGGTGGCGCCTGTTGCCCGGGCTATCCGGTTGTTGTCCGTCTTGCGCACCCGCCGGAGCGCGGTCACGTTAGCCTTCATCAGGTAGTGTTGCGCAAGGTCTGTTGGAGTGAGTACTGCACCTGGACCACGACATCGTGCCTCGCGTGGCCTTCGACACCAAGAGCTCCAGCCTCCGCTGGTCCCGGGCGCTGGGACGAGGTCAATACGGATACGAGCACGGTCTGCTCAACCTCACAGCCCACGGACTGCTAGGCCGCGGTGCTGTCTACATTTGCCAGGATGAAAACCCGTCCGACTTGCCGGAATCGTGCGAAACGCCCGTCCCATTTGTGGCCCGGTCCTCCCGGAAGGCCATGGGCCACGGTGTTAGTCTTGCTGCCCTTGCGCCTGCGCATGCCCCTGACGCCACTTCGCCCGCCGCCGATTCCGGCACCATCGACCACGAGGACTTTTACGATGTCGTGGTTGACGCGGCCGACTGGCCCGCCAACACGACCAAGACGTCTGCTACGCAGGCGCTGCCTATGGGCCGGGTCGCCGTGGCTACCTACCACTCGGACGGCAAGGTGGGGGCTCGAGGTGCCCGTGGTTGTGGTGCCTTCCCTGGACGAGCTGCTCGGCGACATCAACAAGACGCGGCCGGCCGAGTCCCAGCTCGGCCCGCTCTATCAGTCCAACGTCCTGGTCAATAAGACGGGTACCCTGACGGGCACCGTAACCTTCACGTCGGCGAGCACCGTCGTGCGTATGTCGGACACGGCGCCGAAACCCGAGAGCGACGACCCGCTGCCGGTGAAGAACCTGACTTTCTCCAAGCTGAAGAGTGCCGTGAAGATCCCCTTGCTCTACCAGTCGGCCAAGTTTGCCTTTAGCTGGGACTTCAACGACATCTCGGGAGCCGTCTACGAGTTCAACCCGATTATGGTGGGCAATAAAGGGCAAAGGCACTGGTTTGGCACCAGCTCGACCACAGGACAGCCGCCCGCACCGAGCATGAGGGCCGCCGTGGCCGCTAGTTCGGCAGAGGCGCAGACCGCCACACACATCGGAGCAACACGCACCGCCCTGCCAGCTGGGACTCACGTCGGCCCAACCGTGGCATCCGTGACGAACCGGCCGGCGCCCGTGACGCGAGCCCTGATCGGGGCGCAGCCGCTCACCGTCGAAGGCATGCGAGCATCCCGGGCTACGCCGAGAATGCCGTGCACAAGCAGAGCCAGACGATCCTGCAGAACATCATGTTCTACCATATGAACGAGAGCGACCGCACCAGCTTCCTCACCTACCCCAAGCCGAGAGACCTGCCCCTCGAGTTAGCCGACAACCTGCCCGCGGACCTCAAGACGTGGATCCACGACACGTACGCGCCCGCATACATGTCGTTCATGCTGTCGCAGGTGTCGCCCGCGGACAGCTCGGGTTGGCGGGAGAATGCTTGAGGACGCCCAGAAGGACAAGATCTAGCACTGGTGGTCCGGCTCGGTAAGTGGTAGCTGCTAGTGCTTTTTGTTCGCCACCTTTTCTGGGACTACCACCATGCCAGCTTTGGCTGACCGTTGCCGCGCCCCCCAATCGCAGGGAAAGAATTGCCTGTCCAAGACAGACCAGTCGCGCGCTGCCATGATCGCGCTGTACGGGAACACCATCAACCCATACTTGCCCGACGCTGCAATCTGGGCCCAGCAGCTTTATCACGGCTGGACCGGACAACACGCTGAACGCCCTGCTGGAACAGCCTATCAATAGTGCGGTATGTTATCCCTTTTTCACACCTCTCGCCCCAAGTCCCATACCCCGGCGCTAAAGCCGTCCGTCCCACAGAACGTCAACCTGTTGAACATGTATTGCAACATCTTGCACACGCTTGCCCCTAAGCCCAGCGATCTGGGCGAGTATGCAGACCGGCTCTTCCAGGCGGTGCTCTCGTACGCACAGTCGGTGCAGATGACGTCGACGGCCGTCTTCAGCGACCCGACGGGCGAGACGGCGCACCAGTGGCTGTACGACGGCATGTCGGCTCTGATCCAGGCGACGCTCAACAACGACCCGAGCCTCGACAGCACGGTGCGCAACGACCTTTTGATAGATCTCAACGACCTGCAGACGGAACTGGGCATCGACGCCAACCAGGCCAACACGGTCAAAACCCGCCTGATGCTCGCCGAGATGAACATCCTCATTGCCAACATGGCGAAGTGGATGAGCCAAATCGGCAAGGGCATCTCCATCCTGGGCGGCCGGTATTGTGCTGGCCTGGCCGGCTGGGTCTTCGACCGCGCCGCCGGGGTCACCTCGCGGCTGAGCCCAAAGGCGATCGGCTTAATGAAGGGCACTGCCATTGTCGCTTTGGTCAGTTATCCAGAACCTGTCCGAAGTGAAATCAGCTAAATGGAAAACAAAAGACAGCAGTTTATGCATTCGCAGCCATAAGTTCCTTTCTTCATTGGGACACACTCAGCGGCACCGGCCGAGGCGAGGCAATCTTGATCACGGCGAAGATGGTGACCGACGTGTTTGGCAAATCATTTGAGGCGTGGTCCGAATACAAGAAGCCGCCGCGCCCCGGGCCGGGACCGGAGCCGGCGCCGGCGCCCGAGGTAGCGGCTGCCAACGGGGCCCGGGCTAGATCAACGTCTGGCGCAAGAGATGCGTGACCAGCAAGGGCAGCAGATGAACCTCGAACTCGGCCAGGCCGAGCACGGCAGCCCCCAGCCGAGCCTGCCTGGACTGGTTGACGGCGCGAGCGGCGTGGCGATGGGTGAGCGGAAAGTCCAGGCCGAGGACCTGAAGGAACCGACGCCGTTCAATGAGGAGGTGCCCGCGGCGCCGGCGGCGGCCGAGAGCCGCTCCGCCGGGGCATGGCGCCGCTTCAACACGCCCTCGGACTGGTTACGCGCCGCGGGGATCGTCCTTAGCGTGGCGCTGCTTGTCGTCATGACCATCAGCCTGTATACCAGACTGGGGCAGCCCTACCGATACAGGCAACACCCTGGGCGTAATCCAGGCCATATCGACGGGCCTCGCCATTGTCGTTGACGTCGCCATTTTCGCGGGCGAGATGTATGCGATGACGACGGCCATGTACGTGGCGGCGCTGCCCATATTGGACGCCGTGCTGGCCGTCATCGGGCTTATCGTGGTCGTGCTGATGCTGACACTCGACGTCACCAAGAAGGAAGACCCCCCGCTGACGCACGTCGAGACCTTCATCCGCGGCACGGCCAAGCCGCTCGTCGCCGCCTGGGACGCCATGCCGCAGCCGGCGCTCAGCTACTCGATGCCCACCAAGGTGACGCCGGGCGCGCCGACCGTCTTCAGCGTCTCAGCGCAGAATGGCTCGGGCGCCGACGTGGCGCGCACGTCGGTCAAGGGGACGGTCGAGGGCGGCTCCAACGCGTCGTGTCTGTTCAGCGAACTCGCCATGGCCGACCTGGGCGTGCTGCCGGGCGGCGCCGCGGCCGCTGCGCTGACACTGCACTCCGGCCAGGTGGCCGCCGAGGCGGTTGAGGCGGGCCCCCCGGAGGAAGCGCTCTCCGAGGCCATCACGCAGACGCAGCGCTCCAGCACCGTCACCTCGTGGAACTTGGTCGTGCGCGGTGTCGCCGACCCCGACACCAACCCGACTGGCGCCCTGAAGCTGCTGGGCACGGGCGGCGTCAAGCAAGGCTTTGTCGTGTCGTTTTGCGGCGTCGTGAACCAGGCCGGCTCCAACGTCGTGCAGATTGTTGAGACGCTGGTCACCGGGGATAGCTGCCGGGCCCTGTTTAGGATTGCGTGGCAGTGATGGAGAGCGGCGGGTAGGTAAGTGTGTTCTGCAAACTGTCCGTGTTTCGGTCCCGCACCGTATGTAAAAGCACCCCGACAAATGTGGAAAAGCGATGCGTGTAATTAGGCGTTTTCATCAACAAATTGAACGTCTGCGGTTTTCCTTGGTATCTCCAACCTGACACCCCGAGTACTTCAGCTGCTGTTGTGGCTGGGCCCGTGTCCTCCGGAGGCTCTTGGTCATACTGTAGGTTGCGCGGTGATGAGCCTCCAAAGCTTGAAGGTTAATTACCGCAGGCATTCCGTATTAAAAGGGTGAGATTTGGTTGCGCGGAGGGAGACGTTCGGCTACATACAGATGTAGATCGAGCGAGACCAATATTTTCGCACATACATACAGTACCCCGGACCTTTCCTTCTAGTGTCCAGATCGAATGAGTATATACGGTACTTGGTTGTGGTCCTAAGTGGGGGCTGCACGCCGCCAAACGAGCACGTCATCGCCAGACCCGAGATGAGGGTAATGGTAGCAGGTACTTTCAAGTTTTGAATCCAAAAAAAAAGCACTCAGGGGTGAAAACGCGAGTGGCCGGGTTGATGACGAGAACTAAGTATGCTACTGAGGAATGGTAAGTGCCTGCTGTCCAGTCTTCCCTCCCACTAATCCCCAATTTTGTCCTCCGAATTGCTCCCCGAGTCCTTCCTCGTTTTCCTTTTGTCCCATCTCCCTCCTCTATATTCTCCTAGCCGCTCTTTTGTTTAAGGTAGCATTAATATCGCACTCATTGATCAAGTCACTTGCCATACTCCGTATGCAAGAATATCAGTACGTAGTGCTTCAAGTTCCGGTTCCCATCCCTCTTTTGAAAAATCACAAGTCATTGAAACGAGGATTCGGGTGCCGAGAACACGGCCGTGGGACTGTTGGTATTGAGCACGCGGATGGTGTTCCATGAATGCTTATTTCACCGGCACCTGCATGAGCCTCGTGCCATCCATATCACCGGAGCCCTAACGTAACGCAACCCCCACAAAGCACGCGTCGGTCCCAAGCCTTGGGAAACCTGAGTCCTCAGCTGCTTCAGGGGCTGAAGGAGCGCTGTGGCTGCCAGGCCAGACCCCCACGCAGCCGCCTCTCGCTTCAGTCGACAGAGTCGCAGAGGTGGCATGGATCATAAACACCAATGGATTCAGAGCACGCAATGTGCTGCGCTGGATTGCGCGATGTCTCAGAATCGATATATCGAGCTTTGAGCTCCATCACGAATGGCGACCATGATGTTCAACAACACTTCGTGCGCTACCCATGTCCGTCGACAGCAGTCAACACCGGAGTCCGACAACGCAAACGTGGCGAGTGACATGACTGCACTTCAACAACAGCAACCATGTTGCACATCCGCGGCGCAGCGGACCTCGACGAGAGTCAGCTGCAGACGTTGACCATTGTGACTCGGGTCGCGTCGACACTCTCGGCTATCGGCGTGGTGACTATCATCGGCACCTACTGCGTATCCAAACACTTCCGGAACCCCATGCACCGTCTAATCGTGATCAACGCCTTCTACAACGCCCTCGACGTTGTTTGCACCATGATCTCCACCAGCGGGCCGGATGCAGGGAACACGTCAGCTCTTTGCCAGTTCCAGGGGTTCCTTAACCAGATGTACGTCCAGGGTTGGCTATTACTTGACTTTACCTAAAGATGAGAATCACCTTACACAATGTACTAAACCCCCTTCTGGCAGGTTTCCCGTTGCCGACGTCCTCTGGACCCTCGCCATGGCCATCAACGTCTACCTGATCGTGCATCACAGCTATGACGTCGGGTCGCTGAAGCGGCTCGAGTGGAAGTACATGGTTGTCATCAGTATAGTGACCTTCATCCCGGCCTTTGTGTTTCTCTTCATCAGTACCGAGGAGAATGGTCCCATGTATGGGAGTGTGACTGTAAGCAAGCACCCTCCTACCCGAACAGAATCATCATCCACCCATGGTGGCATACCTAGCTGACACGTTATCTTTATAGCTATGGTGCGCCATTGCACCGAAATGGGTGCTCTTCCGGATCGTGATATACTACGTGCCCATCTGGTACCCTCTCCATCCCTCTCCGATTCTCCAATTCCCTTTCCTCCTGCTAACCCGTTCTTTCAGGTCATCCATCCTCATCACAATAGCCATCTACCTCTTCGTCGGTATGGAAATTGCCAGGCGAAGACGCATCCTCCGCTCCATGAGCAGCAACATGCACGGCCCCGCCATGGAGGAAGACACCATCCCAGCCGCCACCGGCAGCGACTCGTGCGGCAACTCGACCAGCGTCGCCGCCGACTACGACGAGACGCAGCCTACTAGCTCCTCGGTCGACGAGTCGCACACTTCCGTGTCCAACAAATACTACGCCGCTTCGACGACCCGCGTTGCCACAGCCAACACGTCGTCTCTCTCATTCAGGCAGTACATTCTGATGCCGCTCTTTTTCTTCCTCGCCTTGCTGCTGGTCTGGGTGGCCCCCTCGACCAACCGCGTTGCCGCTTTCGTCAATCCCTCGTTCTCGTCGTACCCGCTGCTGCTGATGGTTGGGATCACCGGGTCGCTACGCGGATTCTGGAATGGTATCGTCTTTGTCGTGGTGGGGATGAGGTCCTGGAAGAGGCGCAAGGAGTCGGATGAGATGGCGCTGCAGCCTGTCACGGCGGTCCAGGGAAGACTGTAGATCTACATGTTCCATAAGTTTATCTCTACCTACCTAGGTACCTTTCGTACCTTGAATATCCATAACTGTACACTTTTCCTGGAAATTGTGCTATGGAGTTCCTCTGAGTACGCCCTTGCTCAAGATGTATCTTCCTGTCATGTATACCACTTGGCTGTTTGGCGGCTGTCACTCACGATGAATCCTAGCAATGCCTAAGGTACCCCGTTCAGAAAGGCCGGTTGAAACAGGGACTTGGGACTTTCGGATGTTGCTAACACCACGGTAATGACCTTGGGCCAGGAGTTGGGAGCTGGTTGTAAAAGAACCCTCAAGCAAGTGACTACCGTACCTTGCGTGCTGTGCTCAGTGTGACACTCTATGGGAATGGATGGGAAGCATCCGCAACTGAACCCATGTCGATGACCGAGATATTCCAGTGATATCACATGTCCTTGTCAAATCGCTCCGTAAGCTAGGTAGGAACCAACAGACACTCCTTCCCAGCAAGCGTACGGCGCGTCATGTCAGAGCACGTATGGTGGATGGAAACAAGTGTTGTTCTGGCCCATGTTGCGTGTGAAGTCAAACAGTGCGCTGGGCGAAGCCTCAAAATGGGACTTAGGCTATGTGTCAGTGGCCCCATATGGGAGGCACAGACGATTCAGGCATGTTTGCTGGTTTAGCTCTTGACTGGCCAGGACCGTGATGACCGTGCTTTGACTGTCAGTGGCTCATTTTGAAGTTAATTCACAAAACTAGTTTGTGTTAGATTCCGCGTCGATCCTGGGTGGGATTGACATTCTGTCACATCCATGGTTTCGAAGTTGTTGGTTCTGCGCTGCTGCCCCCGTTTCTATGGCCAGGTGGCACAGGGACACAACCTGGATGTTTCAGCCTACGTTGGCTATGCGTGAGGACACTGGCGGGTGCACATATCGCCTTCCTAAACAAGGTATGTTGCCATATATCCGTTGTCATGATCCAAGGCAACTCTCAGCAAGCATACAGTATGGCACGGATGTTGTGCGAGTGCGTGTATGGAAAGCAGTCGTTCTCTTCCCCATAATACCCTGGTACCGCTTGATGCGATGCTGGGTAAAGGCTCGAGATGGCGCTTCTTGTGGCTTGAAGGCACAGGATGATACAATCTTCTTGGTTATGCACGGGTCTCACACTGGTAGGTACATACGCCTTCGTAAAGTGCCGTATCCTGTCAGAAACCAGGTCGAACTAAATTCAGCGATACTTAGATGGACGCTTTGGGGGAATATAGATAAAGGTGTGCTCCTGCGCCGACATGAGAATCAAGGCCACCCGCGGACCCGAGTCTCCCTCATCCTGGCATCATACTGAACCTAGAGTCTTTTCAACGTGAGACTTTCTGCAAGCATCCCTCTCAGCATCATGAGATTCATTACTTTTCTCGCTACCCTCCAGCTCGCACATGTGCAGCGGCCATGGCCGCCTCTCCGCAGCGCAAGTGCTACAAGCATGCCGATCCCAGCGCCAACCGAATGCTCGCCGCCGATGAGCGCACCTGTATCGGTGATGATGGCTTTCCATCATGACGATCAAGCCGCAAAACTGTGGTATGTTCACAATAATGGAATGCCGACCAGCGAGGGCTTGGCTTATTGATGCTATTCACAATCAAATGATTATAGCCGGTGATGGTGCGCTCTCGGTCCAGTGCGAGTGCGAGTTCTAGCACTCTACTTACCCAAGTCTGCGACGCGACGGGATGCCATGTTTCCTTAGCTCCTTCGTGCTGAGATACTCTTATACACGATCTCGGAGGGCGCCTTGATGATGGCCGTGTTATCGGTGATATAGCCGGGTCCGTTTAGGAAGGTACTAGTAAACCAGAGAGGGTTGGGGGCGCTGGGCAATGAAACATCATTCGTTCCCATTTTCAGTTGTTGGGACATGGTTGTTGTGACACGGTGCAGAGAGAAAGGCGTAAGTGCCTGGTAATCGATAAGTGTATCTGCAACCACGCGGCGCAGGTCCACCGTCTTTCCTCAACCTGTCTCTTCTAGCAGCCTTGGCCGTTGGGGCTGCCCCTATTCAGGGTTGTCGCGGGAACAGGAACCCCGGTGCAGGTGGTTCTTCCGTCATGGCACCCGACGTCGCCGCACACGCCTCACATGACCTGTAACTTGGGTTTCGTGGCCTATTGTTGCGGTGCATTCCTGTCAGACCACGATGTTCCGGACAATATGCTCTGCAACGAGGGTAACAGATTAACCGGTGTTGCCTTTACAAGTAACGAAGGTGTGGCATAGGTCCAGGGCGATAGCATCACTAGAGGAGTGCGAGAACCCTGACATGGTGCGTCGGCATATAGGCGGCGCTTGCGTCCAGACCGATGTAAGCTCCCATGGACCAATGCTCGCTCTCACATTCGTTTCCCTCTCTGATGTTGTTGTGTCGGTAGGATGATGGGCGGATCATAGTTGCGCATGCTGCTCGCATGACATGTTGGGTTCTTGTGGACGACAGAACGTGGTCCTGCTGAGCGACATTGTGACGCTCCGTGTATCAGTTGACTCAGCAGACATACCCTACAGAAAGCAGCGTAGTGCTACCAGGTATAAGACTGAATACTACGAGGGTTGGCTCTACTATGTCAAGCGTCCCCCTTGTCAGTCCTCCAGGCATGACTCCGGCTGGAGCTTGATCATCGCCTACTAGGGCTGGTATCTCAGGTGCCAAGGTTCTCAGGCGTGCATTCAAGATCCGGCCTCCACCGGCGGTCGTCGCAGCAGCCGAGACCCGATTCTAATCTGATGCATACTGATGCCTCGCTCTTCGTGCTTCTCCCTTAAGCGTTGCCAAGACGAAACTCGTGGGCAGATCGCCGGCTGCCTCCTCGAGGTTCAGACAACCTGTCGCAGGCTCCGTAACCAGTCGGAAAGGAGCTTTATCTCAACGTAGACGACCACAGTCGCACATGCGCTCCTCTACTGTGGAGGATGCCGCAAGGTGTTGGAGTCTTGGTTCTTGGAGATGCGGGTGATGTAGAGCAGCCCGGGAATGACCGGGCAGTGTGACGGAATGAAGACCCGGGAACGGTTCATGTTTGATTAGGGATTTGATTCGTCACCTAGGTAGATTCGGACACGGAATTGACAAGCACAATCGCTTGAAAGCCAGGCCTTTCAGACGCTGATGAAACCGGGACGGAATGGGCAATTGGCGAGTTTTGGCCGCCCAAGGCTCACAGAAAACAAAATGAAAGCTGAGAATTGTGAGGAGGAAAGACGATGCGATGGAAGATCGGGCACATCAAACAGGCCGATTCTGACTGTCTGACGGTTGAGAATTTCGTTTTCTCCGCGTTGTTGACATGGAGGACCCACTGCCCGTGAAAAGTGGTGGAGATTGCATTCCTTCGGGTTCCGGCAAAGCTTGTTTTGCACCTCAGAGGTAGCCGACACAATCCGGCAACATGGACCAAGTGACCACGGCAGGCACAAAGAGGTCAGCACGCTACCACTGGAACTAACACTTAGAGCAGAATCTCTCGGTACGGAGGCCTCAGATTCCTACCCAAGGTAAGGTGTCTTCTGGTGTGTGGACTGCGGAGAGAAGGTCTACAGCGCACCAGACTGCTTTTGCGATCCCGAAACAGGCACGAATGCGAGAAGCCAAGGCCCCAGCTTGCTCAAGCTGATTCAGCTGCTCAAGAACACAGTCGAAGAGATGGGTCCCATCAGGCCAGATACGGAAAAGCGTGTGGAGAGTGTGCCCCTGACTAGGCCTGATCGGGTTTGGGGCAAGGCGATCCACTTCTTGTCAGTCAGTCCAGACTCCCTTTCGAGAACGGAAGCAGGATGGACCACGGCGCAGACGATGCTCAATTTTACCAGAAGAGTGACAAACATGACCAGCGGGGGGCTGGATAGCGAGCCAAGAATACCCGCATCCTTGACGATTCTCGACAAGATGAAGATTTAAGGACGCTCAGTTCCGACAACCCCGTAAACTTTAATCCCTTTTACCTCCTTCTAGTCCCCACCAACACAACACCGTCTCTCTTCCAGGGTTCAGAACAGCACTGCAACCTCTGTCTGCTGCCTCAAAATCCTTCTCCCATCCACACGAAACCATCTCAACAATCCCAACACCATCAAGATGCACTCCCAGACGCTCCTCCTCAGCCTGGCCGGCGTGGCCGCTGCCAACCTTGCTGGCCACCACATGGCTGTCAGGCGCGAGCTCGAGGCTCGCCAGACCGACGACAGCTTCTCTGCCTGCGCCGAAGCCATGATGTCGCTCGTCACCGACATGCCGACCCCTCCCGCGGCCCTGACCGAGCTGTCCGTGACCGATCCCTGCAGCGTGACGATCCCCCCCTCGCTCGAGTCGGCCTACTCGAGCTACATGAGCGAGGTCTCGTCGTGGAACGCCGAGCACGCCGACGAGTACAGCTCGGCCCTCGCCCTGTGCCCTGATCTCCCCACCATCACCGACAGCGGCGATATCGCCGAGTGCACCGACTCGGCCGGCAACAGCGGCAGCCCTACTGCTGGTTCCTCCTCGGACTCCGACAGCGGGGATGCCGAGGAGACCGATTCCGGCTCGACCTCGGGCTCGGGCTCGGCGACGCGCACCGGTTCCGGCGCCAGCGCCGGCGCCACCTCCACCTCTGGGTCTAGCTCCGGCTCCGGCTCGGGGTCGTCCGGCAGCAGCAACAACAATAACAACAACAACAGCAACGGCGGTTCTTCTGGCAAGCCTAGCGCCGCTCACCGGGAGACGGGCTTCGTCGGCGCTGCTGTTGCCCTGGCTGGTTTCATCGGCGTCGTCGCTCTTCTCTAAAGGCGGGGATACTGCTGAGATATGGTGGTGGATGTTGGGAGAGGGACCCAAGCTGGGCGTTGATGGATACTACCTTAATCAGTGTACTTTTGAATTCGACGTAATGCATGGCAGCAGCACAGAAGGGATTGCAGAGTTGTTGACTTTAGGAAATGGAGGCTTCTCGTACGGAGTATTACCTTACCTTTGGTAGGGCAGGAACTCTTTTTCCCTACCTACCTGGCCTTTTTCTCACGGATCGGTGGCTCGAGCCTCCCTTCGGCGGTTGATCGGATCGGCAATTCGCAGCCCCGATGAATACTGTACATACCTTACCTATCCGTATCATTGTGTAATCCGTAACCCTTATCGGATGCGGGCTGCTCACTGCAAGGTGAAAGTCGGTGAGGGCAAGGCTTTCGACAGGGCTGCGCTTCGCCCTTAGGCGTTGCTATTTGCTTCACCATCAACACGCACTGGCAGTGTATCTACAGGTAGACAGGTCTCTCCTCCTTTCTTCCCCTCTCCGTCTTGCCTTTGTCACGATCTTTCAGTTCTCTCGCGCGGGCCCAAAGAGGTTTTCGTTCAAAAACTACCCTACCTACCTTAATGGGCTTGCTAAGGACCTACAGATGTTCTCCAGCATCATGGCAGATCCTCTGTCCGTCACCGGCTTGGCCACTGTGTGACCAATCTCAAAGCCCCAACTTCTAAAAGGGACTCCTGAAGGTTTTACTTGACAACGGGGTGAGGTTCGGTGAAGCCAAAGCGTTCACAACAAGCAATGTCCAAGGGTACTGATCTTGCACTTGAGTTGCTTACTGGAGAACTCCCAGAGTCCTCCAGAACGGGTGACTATATATTAGATGCATTTGGTTGCTCTCTCGTGCTCTCTAGAGCCACTTAGAGCCACTTAGAGCCAATGCTCTATGGTGCTCTCGAGAGCCTCTTAGAGCGTCCTCTGATTGGCCTTGCACTGGTGCTCTCTCATGCTCCTGAGAGCTCTCTGGAGCACCTCTAGGACTCGTTCCGATTGGTCCTAAGTGATTGGCTCGGAACGTCCTACGTTCCCCACTGGCTTCTGCAAGTAAGCCGCCGTTGACTCTCGTTGGTTCATTTGTGACATGTAGTGGGTGGATTCAGAACTTTAGACTAGTATAGGGGAGACAGAGGTTTTTAGTCCAGCTCTGCAGGCATAGGTTTTTTTTATAATTAGTGGTAGAGGGTCCATCGAGCCCTAGGGCATAGCGGCATAGGAATATTAATATTATTATTAATAATAAAGAGAATATAGCTAAAAAAATCGAGGTCGGAATACCTTGTGATAGGCTGAGCCCATGATGGCCTCGGCAACCCTCGGCCGTGGTATCATGATAACGTCATCCTGTGGCAGGCAGTGTCTGTGTGTTCCGGAGCATATAAGAGCTTCCCTCTCTTCCTGTCATCTAGTTCTCTCTTTTCTTCTTCTCTCTCCATTCGAGACAAACTCGTAGAGTCGTCACCTGTAACGGGCTGGGCCCGGTGCGAGCCTCGGCGACTCTCGGCCAATACCAAGACCCCTGATGAGGCTATTCCCACTCGCCCCACAGCACACCGAACCTTCTAGCAACGCGCTCAGACCAGCGCGCCTACGAGGATAAGTATGCTTGCGAGCTACCAGAGTCTGTCGTCTCTCCTTTTCTTCTCCAAGTTCAGTGTACTCGTAGAGTCGTCATCAGCTAGTTGCAATATACTGCCTGAGACCGTTACATCACCAGCTAGTTGCAATATACTCCTGGGACCGTTACATTCCTAGGTCGCTAGCATCTTGTATTATAGTAGCATTAAGAGGGTAGTAAAAGTAGTGTTATTGAAGATAATAGTGGTTTGAGACCCATGTCTTATTATATCCTGGTTGGAATCTAGAGTGGTCAAAAACCAGGGTGTTTGATTTACAATCCGAAGCTCGCACTGATAAGAATCCGAAACTCGCACTTTGAGTTCTCACTTGCATCCCAAGCTCCTGTCAGCCTAATTACCGAATAAGGCAGGTAGCTTGTACCAAGTTCTAATCCTATGACAATAATAAAGAACTTTCAGCTTCAGCACCTAACTCGAAATGAAGTGCGAAAACCTCTGTCTGGTCCAGTTCACACGCTCCCATCAGGAATAGACATGGCTGCTTCCCGTGAGTTCATCCTCCTCCGGACTTTTCCGCTTTCGTACGGTTGACAACTTGATCGGTGAATACTGACAAATATTGCTCTGTAGAGGCCACTACCCCTTCCCTGGGGGAATACCCTCCAGCTGTCGACCTGCGGGCCATGATGAGGGCGCATCCTCTACCAGTCATTTCCGAAGAAATGATTGATGAAACAGTCATGACGGGCGACGAGCCGACCAAGCAGGCGCTCGTAGTCCTAGGCTCGCTCAATGCCGCGCTGGTCAATGCCGATGTCGAAGCACTCAGACGCTGCTTCTTCCCGGGCCAGGCATACTGGAAAGACTCGCTGGCGCTGACATGGCATTTGCGCACCTTCAAAACCCCTGGGGGCATAGCGGCGAGTCTTATGCAAACCACAAAGCTTCGAGGCATGCTCGAAGACATAATACGGCTCGACGGCGAAGCGCAGTTTGTTCCGGCAACGCCTGTCCTTGTAAGCCAGGAGTCAAAGAGGCGTCCATAGATTTCGAACGAAAGGCGCTGACCATAAGTTTTTCTGCTGGCAGCAATTTATTGACGGCAACCTGACTTTCACGACCCGCTCGCCTGCAGCCGCTTGCAAGGGGAGAATGCTGCTCTTGCCTGCCGCGAACGACGGCAGGGTTGAGTGGAAGATCTGGATCCTCAGCACTTACGTCGAGGAGCTGGAGCAGCACCCAGAGAATGAGCTTATGCTTCAGTCTCCGGGCAGGCAGCTCGAGGGACTGGAGAAGTTCGAAACAAATGTCTTCATCATCGGAGGCGGAAATGCGTACGTCAAGCAGCCAGAAGTTAAAATGAAGTTAGAGCGCCCATTGACTGGAGATTGAATCACAGCGCCATCACCCTCGCAGCGCGCCTCAAAGCTCTGGGCGTCGACAGCGTCATGGCCGAACGAAATGCCAAGCCGGGGGACAACTGGGCCCTTCGCTATGACTGCATGCGCTTTCACATCCCAACGTCATGTTGCGAGATGCCGTACATGTGTAAGTCGGGATGTCGGGAAACATTTTGTGTAGATTGTAGCTGACCATGGAGTTTCCACTCAAGCTTATGCCCAGGAGCTCCAGACGCCACACCTTCTCTCCCGAGATGAGCTTGTTGAACAGGTGCGACGCTATGTCAAGACTTTCAACCTCAACATGATCACCTCGGCCAGAATCCAGTCAACTGTCTACGACAAATCGGAGAAGCGGTGGGTAGTCAAGTTCCAGACCCCCGGCGGTCAAAAAACCGCCTTTGCAAAGCATCTGGTGCAAGCAACGGGCTTTGGGTCACAGGAGCCCTACCTTCCACCCATGAAGGACGCCGGCCTATATCAAGGGATCAGCGTCCATTCGCAGCACTTCAAGAGCGGTACTGCGCTGGCAGAAAAGGGGATCAAGGCGAGTCGACACCCAGGCGCGAGGGTCCCGTATCGTGGAAATCGCTGCTAACCTCGAAGTATTTGGATAGTCCGTTCTTGTCATCGGCTCAGCCAACACAGCCTTTGACGTGCTCGAGGACTGCCACGCTGCTGGTCTCAACGCCACAATGGTAGTTCGGTCGCCCACTTACATTGTGCCCATCGAGTACGTGCGTGACCGGCGTGCAATTGGTGCTTACGACCTGGGCGGCGTTGATCGCATGGATCGACTCCTCATGACGATGCCGACCTGGGTCGATGGACAACTGCTCCGCGGCCTGCTTGGCCAGATGGCGTGGCAGGAGCCAGACCGATACTCCGCACTCGCTGCCGCTGGCTTCCCCGTTGTTGATAGTCGTGACCCTGAAGCCTCGTTGACACACCACCTGTTGGAAAGGGCGGGCGGCCATTATGTCGATGTCGGCGGCACGAAGCTCATCTCGGAAGGGAAGGTCGGTCTCAAGGCCGGGGTGGAGCCCGTGGCTTATACGGCCACGGGTTTACGTTTCTCGGACGGGAGCAGCATGGATGCTGATGCCGTGGTGTGGTGTACGGGGTTTGCGGATAAGAATGCCAGAGAGACTGCTGCAAAGATCTTGGGCGGAGGTCTCGGCACTAGTAACGGCGCGGGAAATCGCGCAGATGTTCTCGGTCCGGATGAGATTGCTTCCCGACTCGATGCTACATTGGGGGTTGACGCTGAGGGTGAAATCCGGGGCATGTGGAAGCGCCACTTGTGCATCAGCAATTTTTGGATTATGGGCGGCCACACGCAACAACACCGATGGCATTCACAGACGCTGGCCCTGCAAATTAAGGCCGAGCTTGAGGGGATCCTGCCACCGGCGTATAGGGAGACGTCTGAGCTAGGGAAGGTCAGGAACAGGCTATCAGGAGGGAACTGAACAGATTGGACGAACTTGACACTCGTTCATATGTATCACTTCCTGCAGGGAAAGCTAAATGTAGTAAGAAAAATGGAATGTATGGAAGCCCCTCAAACAGCTCACAGCTTGCTATCCTTCCAAATCGGCTTCCTCTTCTCGACAAAGCTGCTCACTCCCTCCTTCATATTCTCTCCCCCATCAATCCTCCCATACACGCCCTTCTCCAGCACCTCAGTGCCCATCTGCGGCCCAATCCCCTCCCACCCCAATCTCAATCCCTCCCGCGACGCAATCACCGCATCCGGCGAGTTCCCCGCGATTTCCTCGGCTAACCTCACCGCCTCCTCCACAGCCTTTCCCTCGCCCACAACAAAGTTCACAACCCCCCACTCCCGCATCTGCTCCGCCGTGTACCCCGTCCTGCCCAAGAGCACCATCTCGGCGGCCCGCTGCTTGCCGACGGTGCGCACCAGCCTCGGCAGCGCCCCCGCGACAGCAATGACCCCCTTGGTGACCTCGGGCAGGCCGAACCGCGCCCTCTTGCCGTCGGCCACGACCAGGTCACAATTCACCACCATCTCCATCCCGCCGCCAAAGCACAGCCCGTTGACGGCCGCGATAACGGGCTTCTTGCCGGCGCGGTTCGACAGACCCCCGAACCCTTCTTGTGACCACCGCTCCCTGTACCGCGCCGCCTCTCCCCCTGCTGCCATTTGGGTGGGGGAGTCGTCGTCGTCGTTGTTGTTGTTGTTGTTGTTGTTGTTGTTGTTGTTGTTGTTGTTGTTGTTGTTGTTGTTGTTGTTGGCGTCCCACTCGCGCAGGTCGGCGCCGGCGCAAAAGGCGCGCCCCGTGCCGCCCGTCAGCACGGCGCACCGCAGCGGCGGCTGCGCGTCGTACCATGCCCAGAGCGACGCCATGGCTGCGTGCTGTACCGAGGGGATGGCGTTGAGGGCGGCCGGGCGAGAGAGGGTGACGAGCAGGACGTGCGGGGAGGGGAAGGAGAGGTGGACGTTGGGGACTTGCGGGGGTGGTGGGAGGGACATGGTGTGTGGTGTTGCCTGTCGTTAGCTGTATGTGGGTGGGCGATTTTGGTCTTGGGATTGGATAGTGTGAAGAAGGGACAAGTGATAACTAAGAGAATTTGAAGATAAATCATGTAGGGAGGAAAACATGAACATATCAATCCCACTCGAGCGATCTTTGCACTGGCCAAAGTGCAGCCGCCCTAGGAACTGAGTACCTAGGCATATTCCCAAAAGGGCATGCTGTGGTTTTCCTCTCGTCCCACTCAATTGCCGCGGTCCCGGGTTGATGGTCCGTTGGGGTAAAGTGGCAAGGATCCGGCGCGGGGCCGAGGCTCAGAAGATCTCCAAGTCGGAATGGAAGAATTCAACAAAACGTACGCTCGCATAAGCAGGCCATCGCACCTTGCTTGCTTCCCGGGGAGGACAGAAAGAAGAATCTACATAGTGTTTGATAGAGATAACGTCAACCTCGTGAGTCAATCACCTCTAGACTTCGTGATTCATATCAGTATTCAGCCACTCCAACCTGAGCTATCTCAATGGCCTACGTGAGGTGGACATCAAAGTGTACGGGAAACTTGACAACTTGACAATAACATAGATGCCGGTAAACAAGACAAAGAGTCAACCCCTATTGGTGTTCATCCTCTGTTTTTAAGTTCGATGGTTGGAGTGGAAATGTGGGGAGCAGGCTTGATACTTGATACCACTGCACCAGCACAAACATCAACAGACCCGGGTGAGCCGCCTCAACAGTGAAGTGCCCTAAGAAGAAGTGGGAGAAAGTGGGGACAGGATATTGCTAGTTGTTGTCAGGACCCGGCCCGCAGCCGATTCAGATGCAGCTCCGCTTGAAGTCTGGGTTGGGTCGACAGAAGTACGGAGTATCTGGTTGACAAAGTTGAAATGGCTAACCTCTCATCGACCATCACAAATAAGACTCGCAGGATAATTAATTAGCTTCATACGTCATCGGTGTGCCAAAAATGACCAGTTAGAAATCCTACACCTAACAAGAGAGTCAGAGCAGGAAAACGCTGGTTCCAGATTTCGACGGCCCCTATTCCAGCCAGACTACCCCGATCTGACACCACAGGAGCCGAAACTAACCCTACCCAAACGCCCTTGAAGACCGGGCATGGCAGGTCTACGCCCAACCCTGCGCCACCAGCTGGGCTATCTCAGGCCGGCAACCCACGCTTCTCACTCTCGGTAAAGAAGATGACCATGCGCCACAGCTTCTTGACCAGGTCTTCGGCATCCTCATCCAGCGCCTCGCTGAGCGTCTCGACCAGCTCGGCCGGCTTCTCGTGCTTGCGCAAATGCTCCTCCACCACGTCCACCAGGAACTGCTCCTGCACGCCCAGGTACTCAACCACCTTCTTCTCGACAAACGGCCGCAGCTTCTCGCGAATGACCGACTCCTCCAGGTAGTCCCACTTGACATCCCACGACCACAAGCCTTCCTTGTCGACGGGAATCTCGTGGGCGAGCGCCCGGACAGCGTTCTGGATGTCCTCTTCCGTCATGGCCTTGGTGTCGGTGATGGGCTCGAACTTGATGGGTACGAGCTGCCGCTTGGTGGTCTGGTCCTGCTCTTCGTCGTCCAAAAGGCCCTCGACCTCGGCCACCGTCCGCCGTGCCGCAGCCGTGCGCTGGGCCGCCTTCTGTGCTGCAGCGCCGAACGAGATGGTAACGCGCTGCGGCGCGGCCGGGGCCGCCGGTTGCCTCTCCATCTCCTCAGCTTGCCGCTCCAGGAACGAGTCAGCCATGTCCCTGGCCTGTTCCATCTCGGCCTCGGCCCTGCGACGCTCCTCCTCCTCGGCCCGCCTATCCATCTCGTCCCGTGCCGCTTCGGCCGCCCGGAACGCCGTCCGCTCCCTAATCCATTGGCCGTGGTCGCGGTAATAGAGGTGGGCCTTGCGTGATGCCTCTCGGTCGTCGTCCCAATTCTTGTCCCGCTCGAGTTGCTCCTCCCGCCTCCGCGCAAACCCATCCGTTTCGGACTTCTCACGCTCCCGTTCTCGTTCCAGGGCTGCTGCGCGCTGGCGCTCACGATTGACCCACTTGCGTTCCGCTTCGAGGTAGAGCTTCTCATCTTCTGCCCGCTGCTTCGCAAGCTCACTTTCATACAGCTCTTCATCGTCCGCGTCCGTGTCGTCGTCATCTCGGAACAGCTGGCCGTTCGTTGTCCCGCCGTTGACGAACTCGACACCTCGATTTTGACCCCTAGGACCCGATGGGGCATTGGGAACACCGCGAGGGCCGAGTGGGATCGTGTTGGAGCCCCCCGGCGGCGGGGAGTCAAGCCGTGACTTGCGCGGCGCACCGTTCCTTTGACGCTCCATCTCCTCGAACTCTTCTTCTTTACGAAGGCGCTCGAGGTCTCTCTGATTGCTCCGGTCTCTGAAAGCAGCGATTTCCGCAGCCACAGTAGCCCGCATCTCGGCGGGAATGTCTGCTAGCTCGTCCTCGGGGGCGAGGGGAATATTAATGACCTCGACGTTCTCGCCCACACCATTCGTCCCATTGCCCATCGCTGTGTCGCCATCCGCATCTCGGTTGCTGGGAGCATGAGGGTAGAACAGATTGCGAACGAACTGCTTCAACGCCAGCTTTGCCTCGCCCAATCTTGCCTCAATCGCCGGATCGTCGCCTTTGCTTTCCTTCCAAGACTCCAGATACTTAATGGTGCTCGGATCGACCTCGACCTTGAGCGGCACCTTTTCGATGCCTTCAAACTTGTCGTCTTCGTCGGCGGGCGGGTTCTCGGTCATAGGTTGCTTCTTCACGGGCACCTCGATGTTTTTGAGTAACTCGACTGCAGCAGCTAGCGATTCGGGGTTTTCGTACTGTGCGAACCCGAACAAGGCTCCCTTGTGCTCAGACAGATGTGACTGTCCCGAATCCCACCGCCGCAGCCTGCCAACCGTGTTGAGCAGCTGCTGGATGCCATCCTCGCCGCCCACGCCGTCGGGAATCTTGTGCAGGAATATCGTTCGCAGTCGGTCTTCAGCCGTAGGCGGCACCAATGCCTGCATGCTTTCTCTCACCTGGGCGCGGGACTGGTCCATGCCACGATCTAGTCCGAGCCCAGGCCGGGCCGAGGTGGGGGTGTGCGAGTCCTTTCGATCGCCGGCGAGGGAGGAGCCGGATTTCGATGGCGGCATGCTTGCCCCCAGACGGATCACGGGGGCATTGAAGTTGATGTTGGGCAGGTTGGGCGGAGACTGGAAGGACGCAGGAAGGCCGCTTGGTCGATTAGCTTGCGTGGTACTGGGCGGCTGGACACCGGGAGCCGGTGCCATTCCAGGGGCAGAGGACATGCCTGGCGGGGGACCTGGACGGAAGGGTATCAGTAGGCGTGAGAGGACGACACCGAGCAGGCTGTGACGTACCTAAGCCCGGGGGCGGCGCCATTCCCGGCGCATGCGATGCGCCCGGGTATGCTGGGTAAACCGGAGGAGCTCCATAGGGAGGTACTAGCGAAGACTATGTCAGCAACGACGTACAGCACAGATGCCATATGACGAGGCTGCAGCAGAGAGAAGCGCATGGCTGTACCAACCTCCATAAGGATTGTACGCCATGATGGCGGGAGATAGACTTGATGCCACAAATTCTTAGAATGTTGGTCCAATCGAGGAGGATGATGGTGCCGCTGCTATTGTCGGATTGACCTTGGTAACATTACACCGGTCAAAGTGCTGTCGCGGTCGCGATGAGCAAAAGTTCACGACGAGTGGAATGATTGGATCGCCAACGCACGGTCGTCCTGTGTGAAGTGGGTCGAAATATTTCCTGGTTACAGTACAGAAAAACACAGTGACAGTTCTGCCAGACCTGCCATGTGAGCGGACTTAGGTTGTCTATCGGCTCTGGGGTGGAAGACAAGTCCAGAGACCCTCATAAATAAGTACAGCTCGTTTTCTGTGTCAAGTTCTTTGCGAGCTGGTATCTGACCAACACGCAGTCGACATTGCAGCTGCAGCGAAGCGAGGCGACATCCCCAGATCGCGTATCGTTCGATGTAATTTACATGCACGGGCGAAATAGGAGCGGAGACACGATCCGCCGACAAATCCCCGGACTGCCAAGCTGCAGCTGGGGCTAGCGCTGCCGAAGCGCGACTTTGGAAAATCGAGTTTCAACTTGCTGTCAAGGAGTTGGCCCATCAAGTGGGAAGCGGAACAAGCCCATGATCAATTGAGTATGGCACCCGTTTTGCTCGTCGAATCGCTTCAACTTTGATTGCGATCGCTAACAAACCCCCTTTGCCGCCCAGAATCATGGAGTTTCGCCAGGTCGTCCATTGCGTCCGTCGCTCCGCGGCGGCAGCGACGAGGCCATCACTCGCCAGCACCCAGCCCTCACCCTCGGCCATCCTCCTCCAGCACCACCATTTCACAACAAACACCAAGCCGCAGCAGCAAGAAGCCGCCGCCGCCCAGCCGCAATTCTCGGCCCCTCTGCACGCCCGCATCGACCAGGTCCGCACCTCGATCCCCCAGCCCCGGTTGACAATGCCGCCGCGGCCACCGCCTCTCCGGAGCAGTCCCTTCTTCCAAAACCAGACAGGGAAGAAAGCCCCGGGCTGGGTGTCCCCAACCAGCCAACCCACCGGCACCACACGCAGCACCACGCTCACGGGCCGGGCACCCACTGCCCCGTCCACCACTACAGCCGAGGAGGACCCGTACAGTCTGTTCACACAGATCAACGCCGACATGGAGCGGTCGACGGGCGGGGGGGGCACGCTGCCGACGTGGAACGAGGACGAGTTTCTGGGAAAGCACTACGACGTATCGGAGCCGGCGCTACGGCTGCGGCCGTCGACGGGCCGCACGATCCACGTCAAGGGCCACGTGGACGTGGCGCGCGGGTTCCGGCTGCTGCAGCGCGCCGTGGCGCAGAACGGCATCAAGCGGGATGTGTTCCTGGCCAGGGCGCACGAGCGGCCCGCGCTGAAGCGCAAGCGGCAGAAGCGCGAGCGCTGGCAGGCACGGTTCAAGAATGGATTCAAGGCCACGATTGCGAGGGTTATGGAGTTGAAGGGCCAGGGGTGGTGAACATGGGCTTTGCGGGGAGGTGTGTTGGCTATCATCCATGGGTGTATAGAAAGCTCGGGGAATGGTAGATCGGGCTGGGAAGCGACATCTATACATGCTATGGTGCTGAATCTGGTTTGCATGCAAGCTGTATTTGTAGTATGTCCCTTTGAACACGAGAAGTGGGACTGTGCAAAAAGCATTCATAACAACTCGTTACGGACATTATCCTCCATCTCCGTTCCCTTGACTGCTGCGGGTATGGCTAACCAAGTCAAACGTTCCCATTCTTCGTCTCGTCATAACCCATTCATTAGATGCCTCAATCCCAGAACTCCCGCACCGGCGTCCCGATCGGACTAGTCTTCAACTTGGGCCGGCTCATGAAAATCGCTTCATAATCATCCTCTTTGCCGCCATTCAGCAGCTCCTCGGCCAACAGCAGCGTCGTATTCCCTTCCTCCTCTTGCTCGTCCACCGCTGGAAAGTAACTGCTGCTCTTCCCCGCCGCCGGCGTCGACGGAGCCGGACCGTGCTTCCCTCCCTTCCTCAACGACCTCCGCCTCTCCAGCTGCGCCCTTTGCCGCGCCGCCTCGAACCCGGCCAAGCTGCGCCTCGTGCGTGCCGCCAGGTCCTCGTGACCTCCGGCCTGACCGTCCGCTGCGTCTTGTTCTGGCGGCGGTTCGGTGACCATGGGGACGGTTACGGCGGCGCGGTTGATGGTCAGGCGGTCCGCGTCCAGTTCGACGTCATCGTCATCGAGTGTGTCTACGTCGGTCGGAACCCGGAGATTGGCGTGGGACGTGCGCCGCGCCATGGTCAACCGGGTGCGCTCGGCTAGGGAAAGCGTGTGCCGGGGTTTCTTGACCGGCGATGGAGAGGCGGCGTTGACTGAGGCAAGGATCTGGTCGGCTAGTTCTTGTGTTGGAGAAATGGACGGTTCAGGTGGGGAAGGGGGTTCGGGAGAAGACGCGGCGAGTTTTGGGGGCGAGCCAGTCGAGCCAGAAGGCGACGAACGGCGGTGGTTCGTCTTCGGTGCTGAGCTTAATCTTAGCCCTGGAGCTCTTGTTGGTGACTGTGTGATGGGTCGCCTCCTCGTCGAAGAGTGCGACTGAGTCGTTGCTGATCTTTGAAGGCGAGAGGGGGCCAGTGGTCCATCTTCGTCAAATAGTGCGTGCTCATCGTCGAAGGTCTTGGCCTTTCGCAAAACAGGTTCGAATGCGGGCTCTTCTGACACCCGAATCGGTTCGCGGCGAGAAGGCGACGGACGTGGTGGTGGCTGTACCTCCTCAATGTCGCTAATATCAGAGATCTGCTCGGCCTCCGCCGCGACTTCTATGTCTTTTGGTGGCAACCTCACGGTCCGCTGTGGCTTCTGGAAAACCGAAGGCACGCTGAGAGCAGCTCGGCTTATGCTGGCTAGGTCGGACTTCAGGCCATCGATAAGAGCCTCGTAGTGACTGTCAAGCTGGCTAGGAGTGGCACGGGAAAGTTTCCTTGGACTCATGCGCCCAAAGTGCAGGTCTTGGTGAGCGTTGAAGCCCAGGTCAATGCCCTTTTGCTTGGATTGCGATACTGCTTGCTTGACAGCCGGCTCAGTGCCAGTCTCCCCAAACATCATCTGGCGGAAGCTTCTCCACCTCTCCAATCTTTGCTGTTGTCCCCGAACTCTGCTGCCCAGTTGTTCCAGAAGCCCGACAGATGTATCCTCAAGTTCCGCGAGCCGGTCAGCCTGCACTCGCCTCCAGACCCTGTCGTACGGATTCGTTAGGACTCCGTCTTTGCGTAACTTGCTGTCTCCGTAGAGTAACGCTTCCATCCAACTCTCATTGCCAGCCCAATTGTCGCGGACCACCCGGCAAACCTCGCGCTTTTGGTTATCGGAAAGACCCTGACTACGCTGTTTCGCAACTTCTGCCTGTTCGCGCCTCCTGAGAATCGCCTTCTCTCTCGACGCCAGAAGATCCGAGAACGCGCAAAATCTTGCACGTGCCGACTTCTTCTCGTCCAATATTCGGCACAAGGACACCCGGTAAGCCAGAATCAACGCAGTGAGCTCGGTCCGTTCGCCAGAATACCCTCTGTTTTCGAGCGCAAGCGCCTGGGCAAGAGCAGGATGTCCTCTGCCGTTGATGCGCTGCTCTGCAACCAGTTTCTTCAAGACAGCGGACGAGAAGACCGCCAGCACCTCCTCCAGCCTCTCGCCCTTGCACTCGTCGAGCATCGTCTTGCGGACGACGGCGTCTCGGCCAAGAACGCCATTCTTCTTCGCCTGTTCCAGACCTCTGAGCAGCGCCGCGCGCAGATTCAGCGACTGGACTTGATCGAGCGGCGGAAAAAAGGGCTGCAGCTTGTTGCGGGCGTCCTCGGGATCCCAAAGTCGGAAGAGGTGGTAAAGAGTCCATTCGACCGCTTGGATGCGCTTCTTTTGCCCCTGCGCCGCATCTCTTGTGCTGAAGGTAAGGGCGCTGATATCGGGCCAGTCCGTGTGGAGGTCGAGGTCGAGCAGGCGGAGGTTGGTGAGGAAGAGGGAGACGTTGGATGGGGCGGTTGGGGAGGACGTCGCATGGGAAGCCGTGGTCGCAGATAGAATCGCCGGTGTGTTTCCACGAGGTGCATTTGGTGCTGCCTTGTTCACGTTTGCGGGCATTCTTGTAGACCTTGCGCGGCTGAGCGAAGAGGTTCCGTTAGGGTGCGCCATCGAAGCATTGTAGGGTATCGTTATGGCGGACGGTGGAGGACGAGGAAACAATCGCAGATCTCCGTGGTGAGAATGGTCGATGTAATCTTCAAGATGTGCTGTGAGCAGTCTGGGCGGCTACAACTGGCTGTGCGTCAACTTCAAGCGGTCAGAAGCGAGCTCTGACTGAGGTCTGCTCCTGGGGAGTTCAGCCTTGCAGATGTCAACACTGGGTCAGGGTTGGTGTAACCGCCATTTGTGGACCCGGGGTTAAGGTGGGGCCGAGGAAGGCAACTTCAACGAGTTTGGCTAACTACGCGTGTACGGATTCGTAGTTCCGGCATCCGACTGCGTCTGATCTTGAGAGCCGTGCCGTCTGTTGATTGAGAGATCTTTTCCACATCCAAAGATTGAACGACACTCAACAGAAAGTTGTGCGTTTGTGGCGGTTTTAAGTCGACGTATGATCAGTGCCAGACGGAGCACCAAGTAGGGCCCAAGAGCTGGCTTAGCCGGACGAAATTTCAGCGAAAATGCCTTCCAGTCACCTCCCGAAAACCCAAGTCATTAAGCCACTACGAGATCGTCCCTCAACCACAGCGGGCGGGACCGCCGTATGCCGCCGCCTACCTTACCCGATGCCGAACGGGGTTTGTTCAGAAACACAAGCAGCAATCGACCTAGCAGGCATCCCATACACGTGTGAGCTTGCCGCATATTATCTGCACCAAGTCTGCCAGGTGCTTTGCTTCCCTGCTGGGCCTCGAGGATCAAGTCGGCCAATCGAATGCCAATCCGCGAGCCACCGTGTCAGTTACAAGTGACTAAAGCAAAAGCAAGTTTTGCTCTCCTCTGTCTCATGTGTAACTCTCTGTGAAACTCGGGGATCTCAGCTGTGTTGGCTCAGTTGGGACGTAGAAGCGCGCAACACTGTTACCAACTCGGACGCCGTCGGCCTCTCGCAAACTTCATTTTTATGGACGGCGAGCAGCGCCGCTATTGTCTCGCCTGGCAGCCTACATACACTACGATTCCAACAGCATGGGATGTTCTAGCGCTCTATCACAGATGCGGCGGCGCCTAAGTCTAGATGCACCCGCCGATTACTCTAGTCCTCATACCACGCCCGGGACCAAGTTCATCCTTACCCTCGCATCAGCCGCTTCCAAGTTCTCGCCAGTCAGTCGGTTCCATATTTGGCGGGACCGGAGTGCTTCCAGTCGTGAGATTCCAGTTTGTGCTTGCTTGAAGTCTCAAGACATTGGCGTCGCAAACCTCTATCCATCCCCAACGTCACAATGCCTTTCGGTTACTCCTTCCTTCCAGCCAAACCCACCCCAATGACTCTGGCTACTGACACAAACCGATCTCAATCCGCTTAGAGATCGCAAGGGTCACGGCCGTAGCGGACCTCCAACCCGGGGCGCCGATACAGAAGGCGGTGAGCGTCTTTGGGCCTGGCAGCGGTAGCTAACAAACCGGAGCTCGATCGATCGAATGTCGGGACCCGCCGCGGTCAAGAGCACTTCATCGAGTTGAAACACACAAAGTTTGCGTTAAACTCGGCCAGCAGCGCATCTGCATCGACGAGGTTATGCGGGCCCGTCGCACACAAGACCTGGGCGCGGTCATTCGCCAGGTTTGATCTGGCAAGCTTTGTGTGGTTCCGTTCAACATATCGCCTTCATGCGGCCAACGATAGGAGAAATACACATGAAGATATCAAGTAGGTAAGACGAGTGGTTGCATTTGCATAATGCCCCTTCCTGTATTGAACTAAGATATCCGGCAAGCCTTACCGCCCGATACGCTGGTCTGAGTACCTAGGAGAGCTGAATCTTCCCGGCCGTCATGAAGGCGCCGACGGCTTCCCAGAACTGAACCCATTTGCGAGAAAGAATGCCATAACCGAATCCATTGTCAAGAGGTGCCAAACTCCGCAATTGCCACGGGATACCAAATCTTCCGGGGCCAGGAGGACGTGCTCCATCCGTCGGATCTAAGAGGTACCAAATCCATCCCGAAAACGGAAATGAAGAGGAAGTATGAAGGTACCAGAATGGCGTACCAACACGCCAGTAGAAACCCAGATTCAGGAGGTGATGCGTGAGCCAGGCTCATTTGAGGTCGATTAATCCGTCAGCCGCAGTCGACCATGCAAGAAAGGAGAGCTGAATCAGACGTACAAAGGAAAGAGATATTATAACGGAAGCCATCGCCAAAAGGAGGTGCCAATCACGGAAGCCCCGTGGCCAGGGGAACGTGCTGCACCCGTCGCAGGTAAGAAATGTCAAAGAAAATGGGAGACCATTGATGAGAGGTTAATGCAAGAAGAGCGTGTCGAACTCGTTTCGAGTTTTAACGAGGGATGTTGCAGAGCGAGTCGCCAGAAGGCAATGGAGGTTTCAGTGGAAGATGGTGAGGCCGTCGACTGCGGCAGCTCCCTCGAGGCGAGACCTCTTCGGTTGCCGGGCGCTGTCAGGGTCCATGTTGGAAGGGTCGAAAGCGTCGTTGGCCAAACTCTAGTATAGTCCGATTCCCGCGTTGACATCGTATGCGAGTGCCGAGAGCCCCGTCACAGAGCGCAGGGGTCTCGGCCGTACCTGATCGATAAGCCGGGGCGTCCATTAAGAAGGCGGAAGGCATTCTGGGATTGGGCACGGAAGCTGCCAAATCGAAACTCGGCAGTCCGGAAGAGTTGAACGCCATAGTAAGTGTGCCGGATCTCGGTTGAGACGAGGATCTCGTCCATCTCGAAGTAGAAGTTGGCGGTGAACTCGGCGAAGAGTGCCTTAACATTCACCATTGCCTCGGGGCCCGCAACGCGCAACACCCGGGTCCGGTCCAGCGGTTGGTTGACTCGGCAACCCTCGTTCGGTTGCGCTCGACTATGGCCGTCAAGCCGCCCACAACAAATGGGCGCCGTTGGGTGCCCTCCCTCCCATAGAAATCCCAGAACCGCCGCGCTGCGGCTTCCTCGAAAAAGACAATTTTTGCGGCCGCGGTGGGCCAACCCGCCTCCTGGTTGGGCGGCGAGATGACAGTACAATACACGCGGCCGATCTGACGGACTACGGCAAGCAGTGTAATCATGGTCGTGTCTTCCGGCAGCCTCCTGACCCAGAAACTGCAATTCCTTTCATCGGGGATGTTCGCGGACAGATTCTCCCGGACAAAATGTCTCCTCGGTAGTTCCAAGAGACACCCAGAGCTTCCATGGTTCGAACTGGCGCGCGCGGCGCATCCGGGACCTCGCCCTCGACAACCAGCCGCATCCTGGACGGGCGAAATGGGGTGCCAGTGGGGTTGATGACGGCGCCGGAGTCTGCGGTCTCGTGTGCTGAGTTATCGTCGAAGTCTTGGACGTTCTCAGAACCTGTATGACGGACTCAATTAGTGGTTTGATACCCCGCCAGTCCCGCGATTTGTAAACCACCTACTGACAGCACGGGTGCCCTGTGACTCGCAAAAGAAACCGGCCGGGCCGAACCAGCGACTTCCCCTTGCCCTTCGCTCCATGCCCCAATCAGCCAGGCTGTAGACTGCCGCCCGATAGCCTCGCAGCGGCGGCATTTCGCTTTGAGGAAAGCCTGCCGGATCATGAGCATCTGTCTGTGGCTGGATCTGTTGCGTCCAGGACTCTTGGCGACCCTCGGCCTCGGTTTCTTGTGTCATTTCAAGGATCAGCGGAGAACCCAACGATGATGTCTCCCGACGCACTGGACAGCGAGGAGTCGGCTGACCGTTCCTCGCCGCATTGGTAGACGTGCCGGCGGCGGCCCTCGCAGACGGGTCAGAGTAATGGCGGTCGGACATTTTTGCCGGGTTGCTTCTTGCGTTTATCCTGAGTCGCGATGTCAGTGAATAGTGGTTTATATGACCATGGGGTGAGTTTAGACGGTTTCGGGGTAGAGGTGTATGCGGTGGGCTAGCAAACTGAGGCGTCACTATGCGCGTGCTCACCCTTGATTGAGATTCGAAAGACCGAAGACAAGATTGGATCATAGTGCCTCTTTTGAAGCGCCGAGGGCTCTGACTCCTGCGGTAGGTTGTTAGCCTCGAGGTTTTGTGACTGAGGACGTTGGCAGAAGGGTGCATATCTTAGTTACTTGAGTTGGGAATGCGAATCAAGCAAACCTCAGAAACAGGCAAACTTACTTCAAATGCAATTGCATTCTTTGACTTGGCGTCCAGTTATTCAAATTAAAGCAAGACAGGAAGATGCGATACGAGGGGTTGCTGGGCGGTGGTCGTTTGGGTTGGGAGGTGTCCGACTTCTAAACTTGGCGGCCAGTCTGAAGACAGAAACCATTTTTTTGCCTCTTTGACCTGTCTCACTGCACAGCTGGCGAAATCGCCGAGCAGGTGCCTCAGCCCATTGCCTCGGTGGTTATGATACAGTCACATCTTCAGTGAATAGCTGAGTATTATAGGGATTCTATTGTATAATGTAATAACTAGTTATAGATTTAGTCTGTATAGATGTAACTAACTTTAGAACAATTATATCTAGCCAACGAAGGTAAGGTACTACATATCGTTGGGATTTGATTCCTTCTGCACGTAGTGGAGGGAGTGAATTGAATATATCTCTCAATAGCGGCTTGAAGCTGTTTAAATATATTATTCCTACACCGCTGTGCCCTCGGGCTTGCCGGACCTTCAACAACTTGCTATACAGGAAAACCGCGCCCTCGTGGGCCGGGTGAAAAACCCATATCGACAATCAAGGAAACGATCAGTGTGCGATCCTGCAAATACAAAGTGGGAAGGCCTCTTGGCCTTCGAAGGAAAGGGTATTAGACTTCGAGCTCCAGCTCCAGCCTCCTGGCCAGACCGTACATCGGCAGTTTCCCCGAGTCCATCAGCCAGTCCAGGATCCTCCCCGTTAGCCGTGCAGCTTTGGGACTGATTCCCTGTAGAACAGAATAAAAGT